TGTAAATTTCAACGAAATTCTCGGCATTTCGTGCTTTCGTTTGTTCTTTCTCCGAGACAAACACACACCGTCGTCACTCGCATCCTTTTCGCCTTTAAACTTATTGAGTGAGTGTGTTTGTGTGTGTGTTGGGAAGCTAGTCAAAACAACTTGCATATCTTCTAGCCTCGGTTTTGGTGTCGAGTATTATATCAAAACACTTGAGAAGAAAAAGTAAACGCAAATATTTTGAGTACATTCCGTAGAATATTTTTCGATTTGAATGGGAAAGTATGCGAGTGTGGTGGTGGTGGTGTTGGTGGTGTGGTATGTGCTATGGATCCATTTCGAAACTCTTTTGCCACTCGAAATGCTTTTGGGAAATTAATTCATCTATTTCCATGCAGAGATACAGTGAAGCAGACATGAAACGTCGAAAGAGTATGTGCCTGTGTACAAAAAAGAAAAGACCGAAACCAAGCCACATATACATACTAGTGCATTGTGCGATCATTCAAAGGATTTCAAAATAATCAAAGTAAGAGCGAACGAGCAAAAGCTGCTGCATTCAAGCACCGTTGCAAACATGCCACACACCATTTAAATTGTAATCGTCCGGCATTCGAGCTCACTTGCTCTCCATCTTCCCCAAACGACTCATCTACTCGTACCATATACATTTCAGCAAAATCTTTTTTTAATAGTCATGAAATCATGGCGTAAGTAAAATAGATTCTATTTATAACAAAATCAACAATAACACGTACAACCGAAGAGAGAGAGAGAGAGAGAGAGAGAGAGAGAGAGAGAGAGAGAGAGGGAGATGGAGGCCGAAGGGGATGATTTCGAATATATTTATATGATTTGAAATTTCCACCAAACAAATGGATGTATGTACGGTATGCACAAGTTTCGGTTGCACGAGTAAAAGTGAGAGAGATAAATTGCATTTTGTGCAGAACGATGAAGAGGCAATCTTCGGTTAAATCAAATGAAGCACCAGCATTATGCTGTTTTAGCACTCGATATATCTTTTACGTGTGTGTGAGTCAAGAGCGACGGTGGCAGCGACTTCTGCTACTTCTGTTGCTGATACTTTTCCAAGACTACAAATGAATGATTGTGTGCCAAATGAGAGAAAAAACACTATGAGCAAAGTATATGCTCAACTGTTAACACTTTTGGGGACAACGAGAGCGGGTGGCCGTTTGGATTGAACCTTGGTTGCATAAATGTATGCAAAATAAACGTAATAATGTCACATGGCGTACAGACTATGTACATTGTACACTGAATGAATATGGTGAGTTTCGCCTTGACTTCACACTTTTGTAGTTTTCTCAAGTGTATTGCCAGTCGAGTATTTTTGTCCACCGTCAAAAGACCCGTTTGCATAAAGTTGTTTCTAAAAGCGACTCAATTTCATTTTTTTCCCTTGCTCTATGCTACTGCGACTGATACGTTTGCTCCTCTTCAGATTCTATCTCTTTTTGGTGAATCACGAGCTGCTTCGCTTGCTCGATAAACATTTCGTCGCGGCCAAACGAAAATAGCACATGCAATTTTTAAGAAGTGAAAAGTGTGCGCTAACCCACTACACTCTGTTTTTCTTCATTTTTTTTCCTTTGGCGCTTGCAATTTGTCAGACCACATATATCACACAAGGCAACCGATTAAAATCGCTGTCAGACCAATTTCAAAATGTTGTTCGTCTTGAGAAACTTGTTCAAGCAGATGTTTCGATTTGTTTGCATCGGATTCTTCTGTTCCACATCCTTCCGTTCACGATTCACGATATGGACATGATTATTTTGGGTCTCACTGTCGTTTTGATACACATTAAATCGCCAATAAATTCTGCACACTCAATGATAAATTACGACGGCATACGCTTTTGACCACTGATGGACGGCTAAAATTTATGCGTGTTCAATGGCACACAATGGTTTTGTAATTTAATTGGGATATTCACAGCAGCAATCATTCCATTTCAAATGTTATGAATAAAATTTGCTCTTTATTTCCAATATATTGAATTTCATGGTTATAAACCATAATAAAAAAATTCGATTCGCATTTTTTTTTCTTCTTTCGTTTCTGGTGAGGTCATTATTGCTCATTACGCATTAGTTTTCCGATTGTTCTGTTCATAATACAAACGTCATCACAAATTCATAGCCAATTCGATGAATTCATGAAACTTCGAAATCGATTTCGATTGGCTTTTGCGCTTCCCAAAATGGTATAATCGATTCGACCGAATAAGTCAACACTTCACATGAATACTATATATGTATGTTCGAAAATAGTAATTTTCCACTTTTCATTCCGATGTCTGAATTGGACAGAGAGACCTCACTGTTGTTGTTTTCTTCAGTTGGAGTGTGTGAGCTGATTTTGCTGATTCACACATGATATTAAATATGGATTGAAGTGTGGCGATGGTGAGCATTTGACCATTTGTTGACTGTTGGATTTATGTTTGTGCAATTTATTGTTCTGACTGAAAACCCCACCACACTCTCACACACACTCCTTTGTCGTTAAAAGGTCAGTATATATATATGTAAGAATGGTTGTTTTATGTCCAAAAATGGCAATCGTCTGCCGCGGGTCTCTTTCAATTTTATGTGTTTATTCTTACAATGAGTCAGCATTACATGCTGTGCGTGCTCCAGAATGAATTCCAAGATATACACACACAAAGTAATGAAAAATCGCCACGACGAACGTTTTTTGGATGTATAATTTCTTTGTAAAATATATAAAGTTGCGATGGATATCTCGACAACAAACAACAACAACCATGAAGAGAGAAAAAGAAAACTACGTCGAAAACCATTGACGCAAAACGTTAACTATTTTTATGATGTCTGCGGTTCGAGCAATTTACGCTATTTAGTTGTTTATTTCCCGCCTCAGTTCAAACACTTCGACCAAAAAGAGCGTCGCTATTCGCCGTGCATGTAGATTGCAAGCTGGCTGACTGGCTGGCTGGGTGTTAAGTTGTTGATAAATATTGCGAGCGTAAAACTACTTTAATGACTACGAATCGACGATGGTATACTAGTACACAAGTTTTTTCATACAAACAAACTCAACAATTTTTTTTTTCTTCTTCGCTTGAGAACGATGACGACCAACCAAAATGCTTGCAGCCATATTTAGAGTTTCTGCAGATATACACAAACACATTCGTGAATGAAATACGTTATATCGGCTGTTGATGATGTATTCGGTCGTCGCATTGGAATTGATGACTTTTAAATGTGTACATAAAAATTTAGTTGTCAATCGATATTGGAATTTATGAACTGAACACTGGCGGCTCGAATCCCGTTAACATCGTTTCGCCTGTCAACGCGTCTTCAGCTTTATTAGTGTGTTGAGTATATGTCAAGCTATGCTCACAACTGTCATTCGATAATAATATTCCACATTAACGTTTTAGTGTTGAGTGTCGCACACGAAATTACTATGTAACCAACTTTTTCGATGTAATGACCAACGAATCAACGATTTCATCGAAAATTCAGACAACAAAATAATGCAAAAAAAAGCATAGCAAATTCCCCCGAATGCAATTCAATAAAATGAAGCTTTTAATTTTCGAATTTTATTGCACATCCATACAAATTGAGCTGTCGGGGAATTGAATTGACGCACTGCAGCGATTTGTTGATTGGCGCTGTGTTTTAATTAAAGCGCGCGTCCATCGCACTGTTGTTCTCTCTCGGTTTGTTCTTTTTTTCACACGCTTGCTAGCATGGCATGGCCCGAAGGAGATACCAAAACGTGTTCGGCTACCATATTATTTAGTGTTCGTGCATTTTTCACAACACACATCCATTTCAAAATCGGAATGCCGAATGAAAATCTATATAGATATTTATATATATGTTTATGTATGTGAAAATTGATCAATTAAATAGTACATCAACGATACAATTTATCCAAAGTCAATGTGTATACAGACATTGGCAATGGATGTTAGTGAAAAAACGATAAAATGAAACAAACTGCAATTTTTCCTCTATTTCAATATTCTTTTTTTCTCTTCCATTTTCGTTTGTTCAAAGCGTTGGTGATTTGGCGGAGAAATCGGAAAAATTACCTCCAATTTGTTCGATCGGATCTTATCGTTGGCAAGCAGACGGTTAAAATTAAATTAACCATTGCATTGAGAATGTGTTATTGTTTAATTTGGAAAATGGAATGTAGACTCTACATTGCAGAGTCTGTTGTGTGTATGTGTGTGCCTGTGCATGGTATGTGCTTTAGCGCGCGCGATTATTTCGTTAGATTGCATTTGATCTGTGAGGTCGATAAAACACCTGCGTTTCCACTGATTGCGTTTACTTAACTGATAAAAGCAAGTGCGCATTTTACCTGGCTTTCTCTCACCCACTCTCTCTCTCGCTCACTCTCTCATTCACTCTTGCTCTTTGTCTATAAATCATACACTATGCACACATTTAAGCCATTACCGTTCATTAACATGCCACCGTGCGGGGCTTTTGCTCGCTTTATGTTTGACTCGTGATGAATGCTAACACACGCGCTACCGCGCCGTCATATGTGTAATTTGCTGGAAGATTCTTCGTGCACTAAGAGATTAGTTTCAATATTTATTAGCTAAGCAGCATAGTTCTTTGAACAGGAGAAAAAAAAATGTTTGTTCAATTTTTGCCGTTTAATCAGATTTAATCAGCACAGATGAGTAATTGAACCATGCATAAACAAAATGGTGATAAAACTTAAGTTAAATCGATATATGATGGAAAACCCCTTAAACTACACCACAACTATTACACATTAAATCGATTTTATTGCTATGTAACATTCGTCAGCTCTAATTTTCTCAACGACCGACCTTCTAGAAAATCCTATTGAATGCTTGTATATATATAATTTAAGAATAATTTGTTTTTTGTATGTTTTACGTATAACCATTGAAACCCAAAAAAAAAGGATAAATAGTAGGTGAGCGCAATAAGCGCCCACGTGCACGACACACTTACCTGTGGACAATGTTCGCTAACAGATCATTATGTTTTAATCGGCAGTCGATTGGCACTTTTTCATAATTAACGGTTAATGTTCCAGCCTTGATACAACGTTCATACTCTTCAGCTGGATGGGCACGAAATTCACGAGCGAATACATCTAAAATTTTCTCACCTACCCAACGACCTTTGGTGAATGTCGTAAATGTGAAGTAATACGGGTAAACTTTTCGTAGACCTATGGAGGAAGAGAAGAGCGGAAGAAAAAATTGGGTGATATCAAGAGTAAAAAAAGAACACACAAAAAAAAACAAAACAAATGTAAAGTGGTGAAAATATTATGAGGTGAGGTGAGAATGGCGGAGGAAAAAAAAAAGCTCAAGATAATCATGATTTAAACGACGAACTGACAAACAAAAGAATAAAGGAACATATGATCATGATTTGCCATCAAGAAAAAGCAAACAGAGTGAACGCGGAAACATCGCCAGAAAGAAAAGAAGCACATAAGAACGCGCGGGTGGTGAGTTTGTGTGTGTATGTGAGTGATATTTCTTTATTCTTCTGTCGACAGTTCGTTTCAACGAGCAAGCAACACTTGTCGCAGCGATGAATTACACTTACACAATCACAACAAGACGACACAAGTGCAGAAAGAGAAAAAGACAGATGGAACGAATGAACCAGAGAAAAAAACCGCCACAAAAATGCCACAACATCGATCTCAAACATAAATATTTGCGCGCTACAAAAATGGGAATATATATTCTACATCACCAATCGAGGGGCAAACCACTCAAAAGTAATACTGTGTATTAGTATTACTTTAAGTAATACTAATGTAAATATTACCTTGTATTACTTTAGTATTACTTTTTTCAAACAATAGTATTATTTTTAAAAGGAGTATTACTTTATCAAAAGTAATACCACTTTTACCTAGTATTACTTCGTATTACTTCGCAGGTATTATGTATTACTTTTGAGTGGATTGCCCCTTGTCACCAATGCCACACTCACTTGCAATCGGTACCGACAGCCAAAAAGCACCGACCGAAGAAAGAATGGAAACAAGAACAGCGAGAAAAACCGAAAGAGTAACAGCGAAAAAGAAAAACGAACTTTGTTTATGGGTGTACGAATAGAAAACATTTCATTAAATAAATATTAAAGTTGTTCGAATGAATCATGTCACCAAGACAAGTTTGCATGTGTGCCACACACTGAATTGAAGGAATATAAAGGCGTTTTTTTCTTTACTCTCTCTCTGTGTGTGTCTCTCTCTCTCCGTCTCTGCCTCATGCTTGGCGTGCGCACATTATTTCTTTGCCACAAATTCGCACGGATTATACATGGCAAGTGTTGTTCTGGTATCGATTTAGTTATTTGCCAGGTGCGACGATAGCTGAAAAGAAATACACCGGAAACAACAACGTCCTCGAACACACACACACATAGGCAAAATAAGTTTGAATTAGTTTGAATTGGTGAAATGCTGAAACGAAGAGCGAAAAAAAGCATCGTAAAGAATAGCGAAGCAGAGCATGGTGGAACGTTGAATAACAGCATACTGAATCTGCCTGCTGCCGCTATTGATGGCGAACAAAATAACAAAGTAACTTTATTTATAGCGCATACTTTTCGTCTTTGTTGTACCGAAAAAAGAAAACTGCCTATGTGTTTCGGTTGATTCTTATGAATCAGTCGGGAATTTCGATAAACGAAATACTGCTGTTACCTATGGATCATACACACACACACGCCGCATGAGCGAGAGAAAAAGCGCTTGTCTTCAAGGTGGTCTTGAAATGGGAGCACACACACTGCACACGGCAGGGTAAAAAGTTAACGATTTTCCAGAATCTCCTTTCGTCAGCTTTATTTTGAAAACACAGCGACCGAGTAAATATCAACCGACCGAACGAATGAACAAACGATGGAATTGAAGCGCTCAAACACAAACATTGCTCGAGAGCCAAAATCGAAAGCAAATATTATAATGCAATGTCGTTACGCCGTATTCCAACCCACATTAGAATAACATTTGAGGTAGCAGCAACAACATTCCGATGTTAACTAACCGACGAAAAAGTAAGGGAGAAAATAAGAGAGAGAGCGAAAAAGATCCAACGGAATGTGAATGTTCACATATCCAGCGAAGCACACGCGCGCGTCGACAAAATTCTTCCGTTTTTTGCCATTCTCTACCGCTCGCTAAATTTCTTCCATCAACCGAAAAAAAATAACAGAGAAGCACACGGTAAATACCTAACAATACAAGATTAGCCAAATGGCATAGAAAAAGAACAGAAGAAGGAAAAAAACGGCTCAAGTTTTTCGCATTCGACACAATACATTTTATTTGCTTTTGCGATAGATGTTTTGGCTCATTCGTTCATTGTTGCTGTCGCGCTGTGACGCTTTTTGCATTGCTAAACCAAATATGTTCCTTCTCTGCCTTTGGCCATATTGTTCATCGTACTTAGGAATTTATGTGATGCTTGTTTTTATTATTACCACTTTAACAAGCTGATTTGCTTGCCTTTTGTTTTGTTTCCGTTCTGCTTTGACCGTTTCGCGAATCAAACGGCAGCAAATTACAAGCTCAGCAAAAACTCCGAAAACCGAGAGACAAAGAGAGCCCAATAAGAGAATGAAAGGGCGGACGAAGAAACAGTATTAGGGAGAAAAACTCATTATTCAAGCTTTGATTTACGACAAAGCATGTCGGACAAGCACAACCCCAAAAGCAATGTTCAGTTGGCCTCATTGTCGGTCGACGCACGACGATTATTAAATTCAAATTTCAAAATTAGTTGGATAATTGATTTATGTCGATTAGTGATGGAAATCGACAGAAAAGCCGCAGCCTGAATCGCTTTAATTCAGTTATGGCTTTCCAAGATTATTCGTTATTCACGCTGCAAACTCAAGACAAACAAAAGCACAAGCCGGTAAGATGTAGACGTAACGATTGAATGATTGATAGCGATTGGGCGAGACTAGACGAAATTATACGCGCGTTTGCTATAAACACAACAAGTAAACAGGCAACGTTCGTCTCGTTCAACTTTTCGGCTTACAAATCAAGTATGTGAAGCTGAAATCCATACGCGCGCGCTCGTTCACGTACATCCAATGTATACGTGCCATCGTCATCACTTTTTGCATTGTTCGCTCGTTGGGTAAGTTTGGTGTGTGGTGTCAAACAACGTGTAGATTCGCATTAAAACGCATGTTACGTTGTTCAGCTTTTGTTGTGTTTTGAGCACAAAACAATCGCACTCTATCTCCCTTCCATAAATAAAGTTTGAGGCATATAAACAATGCCGGGGCCAAATTGATTGCATGACGCGCTCGACAAACATACAAAAACCGAAAAGTACACAGAAACAACGGCCAAAAATAAAGAAGCAACGAGACACAGAGAGAGAGCGCGTCTACTACACGAAACGGATAAAAGAAAGTTTTTGATCGTTGCGCATTTTGATGGAATTTTCGGTCGCTTTGCCGCTTTCAACGATCCTCTTGCACCCGCTGATTGGTGGTGTACAGCAGCTAAAGTCTAGAATTGGTTGCACTGTTTGGCGCACGTGAAGATGTGTAAGTAAATGTTATGAATCAATTATCCGTTGATGTCAAACCACATGCACAATCAGGTATTTTGCGTTATATTTCGCTACCATTTGCAACCTTCTACCACCAAAATGATAAGCTCGCGATGAAAACAATATAAATGCAGAACAAAATGCAGTAGACGAGCGAAAAAAAAACCGTGCAGCCGTCAGCACCCCAAAACTACTCAAAAAGTAAACAAAGTAAAGTGTGGCAAATAGCTATATAGAGTTAATGCGCGCCTTTGCAACCAAATCAATAGAATTTGTGTGTACGCTGAAACTTTTGCATTTACGAAATGAGCGCGGTCGCATTGAGGCAAACGGGGCAGGGAGATCGAGAAGAAGAAAAAGCTAAATGCACCGTGCTGATGCACAGCAAGTTAAACGAGAAGAAAAGATAAGAACCAGAATGTGCGATAGGAAGAAAAAATGCGCGAAAATTCAGTGCACAGGAATTCGATTCACTGTGAAATTTATGAAAAACGCTCTTGAATTTAAATAGCAGTGAAATATTAATCGAAAAAAAAAACGCCACCAAATGCATGATAACAACGAAAAAAGAAATTTAATGCAAAAGAAGTAGTGGAAAAATTGAAACAACTCACCATTTTCAGTGTAATAAGAAGTTTCGTGGTATCGTTCGTCTGTGAATCCGGGCCGTTTCGCTTTAAGTGCTTTGGTTTCTAGTTTTGCCTGTGAAGAGAGAGGAAGAGAGAGAGAGCGAAAAAAATGTTGAGTGAAAAAAAGCATTGGAATAATGTAGAGAACGCTATTTTCATAACAATAAAAAATATGTAGAATTTTTTTATATCCAGCGAGTCAGAACAGAAAGTATCCTATGGCATACTTTCTCATTTCTAACATTTTTATGCTTTTACTAATAATATTGCTCAGGCGATGAACGCCTATACTCAACCAGGGTTAATGGAAAGAGATTTTTGTGCTATTTTTTTTGCCTCCGAAAATAGTTAAAAACAATGCGGAAATATCAGCACGAATGCGAATTTTCGAGAAGAAAAAGAACGGCTGAAAATATTTTTTATGGTATTTTTGTGTTGACGAAGGCAAAAACGAAAGTTGAAGTTTTGCGCTAATGTCCATTGTAAATATTGTTCTGAATCCGAAAATGCAGTCAATCTTCTATGCCCCAGCATATCTTTACTGAATTTTCCGAGAAGAACTGGGTGAACACTTGAAATATTTCTCGAAAAATTGTATGAGAAGAATGGAACGAAGCGCGTATTCATTTTCACATTATCCATCCACTTGAGTCCAGTTTGCTATCTCGTCTCGTGCTCCTCGATACCAGAAAGAAAGAAACTTTTCCAAAAACTTCACTTATTTCGTTCGGGATTTTCGTGCTATTTTCGCATCGCTTCTTTACACATGGAATTTAATTTCGGACCAAAATCCGTTCGGAACATTGTTTGGCCAACAACAACGGATTGTTTGGATAAAATTAAGATTGATGCGATAAATCTGTATTTATATGGAAAGCATCGAATGAACTCTTAAAAAGTTGCAAAGATTGAGGCGATTGGATTGGTGCTTGGATTCGATTGCATTTATTGTACGATTGCAACAATAACACAACGGCGCAACAACAATTTCAAGCGATTGGATTTATCGACAGGAAAAATTAATCAATTCTTTGCAACAATTTGCGTCAAATTGAGATGGCGATGCTGAATGAGACATCGCCCAATAATAATAATGTGAAACTTTGACGGTTTTCTTGGAAAATCCCAACTTTTCGCTCTTCGATAAACATTGTCGCGCATTGATAAAAGACCAAATTCACTGCTGTTGCCGCAATACTCTCGCGCGTGAACAGACAGCAAAAAAATACAAGCCGAAAGGAGGAAAAATTGGAAGAATAAAGAAAAAAAAATTATAAGAAAGGGCAATGAAACGTGAACTCGAAAGCATCTTTATATCGGGTAGTAAAAACAATGCACAAACTGTATAACAAAATTTATTTAATGTGTCTCTTGTGAGACATTTTTGTTGGGGTTCCTTTCCACTGGAATTCGACGAGAAAACTTGTGGCATAAAACGGCTTGAATGCGTGAACGAGAGCTGTGTCTAGGATCGTTGATTATGAGTTATGGTCGGAAATGTGTCAGTTCATACCGAGTTGGCCAAAAAAATGATAACTTATCTCAACACTCGTACACATAGACACGGCGAAAAACCACCATAATGATAATGACGATGATCTCTCGTTGGTATTACGGCTCATCGCTACTCTGCAACGGCAACGCGAAAACAATTTGTGTAATATTCGCACGCATATGCATACATAAATCTCGAACCGGTTGAAAAGCAAGTGACAAAAATACACGTTCAACAACACAATGGCAAAAAATCGCTTAGAACAACTGAGTAGCGAACCAAAAAGGACAGTAAATAAAGCGTCGGAAATGCGTCGTCTTAAAAAGAAAAAGACACTCTCTTTAGCACAACAACAACGACAACAAATCTACACAAGGTTTATTTATGTTTTCACTTTTTTTTGTGTTTACAAATATAAAAAGCTGTTTCATGCTTCATAGCCTCGCCGCCTTATTTGAATTTGCTTTTGAAGTACACGCAATTTGGCGTGTAACATGGACCGTATCGCATCGCACATCAAATATTCACAACAGAATAGCGGAGACGCCGAGAAGAGCGAGAGAGATAGGGAGAGTGAAAAAACGTGAATAAAATTTATCAAACACAACACAATGAGCGTAACATAATACAGGGTAACTGGCCAAGCTCATCGTGCGCTTTACCCGGCATGCTATACAATATGCACACAATACAAATTACGGCGGACAAAGTACCAAAGAATTATATATTTAGTTGAAGTAAAGTGAATGTGTAATAAAGTGACCTTTGTTATAGTTGCCTTTATTTTGGATGAAACTTTTTGTCGTTTATCGCATTCTTTGCTGGGCTTTGCTATGCATTGCTGCTGCTCTGAATAGAGCTGCTTGTGCCAGCGTGTCAAAAGTGGTGTTCAAGACGAGAAAATACCACATCATCATCTTTGAAAATACAAAGTCAAAGTTTCGCTGAAAGCCGAAAATTTTATAGCCGATGGTGGCCGCCTATGTGTGTGTGTGTGTGTGTATGTATGTGGATAAAAGACTTCCGAAATATTTGTTTACAAAATTGACCTATGAATAAAATCATTGGGCTTTTGTTCGCCTTGTATATTTAACGAACGCAAATATAATCTCATCATTTCCTATGAGAAAACTTTATGTGTGTGATGTAAGAAAGCGCATTGTAAACGGTCCGAAGGCCGTGGAAAATACATTGTCAAAATCTTCCACCCGAAAGAAAGTACATTGTTACTAGCTGAAATGCTAATTAGTTTGATAAAACTTAGTCAAATGAAGATGCCTTTGAAGCAAATGAATCGGGTTTGGGGATATGCGTTTTTCATGATCTCATGCGTATACATCGCTCTCTCTCCTCCAATGTACAAAGGAAGATGATTTAAGTAAATTAGATGGCGAAGCGTTAATTCGACCGAAGAGTTTTGGTCCATATCCTGAATGAATTCATTGAAAAGGCAGCGAGTGATTTGAGATTGACTCTTTAGTGGTGGCAACAATGTCCGGCAAGCTTCAGGCCAACAGCGATAATAAACGAAAGGAGCAAGGAAGTCTATTTTGAGCACTTTAAAAGCAAGGATTTCATTGCTGCTTTGTTACTATGCGAACCGAAGATTTTCATAAATCCATATACATTTTCAAAGTGCAAAAACTTATTCACTTCCCAAAGTTGGTGGAGGATGAGAGCCAAAGAATGGGGCAAAAAAGCTGTTTGGGTGTGTATGTGTATGCTGTAAACGCAATGAAATAAATAAACAAAAACATGGCAAAAACATTCGCATGTGTCTGCTATTGTTGCAAAGATGTAAATAATGGTAAAAAATGAGAACCATAGCAGTGGCAGCAACAACAACGATGCCATCCAAAACAGTACCGATGATAAAATGGTTTTCTTGGTGTGTTCGGTTTGCATATACAAGATAAAAACATGTGTCTGCTCTATTGATATTACTATTTGTATGCGCTTCTTTTTTCCATCTCACTCCTCCTCCGCCTCCCCCCTTCTCTCTATTCCTTTTATCACTTTCTTGAAATATCTTTTATTTCAACGCGTTGCATTCACTTGAATAGTAAAAGCACAGTTGCACACAACAGCTTTCCGCAGTACACGCAACACAAAGCAAAGCAGAGCAAGGCAACACGAAAAAAACACGATGTGGATGCAAACGTTTGCGCCAAACATGAAAATCGAAAAGGATTTCAAGATTGGATAAAAACAAGCTCTGCTTTCAAATGAAATGAAAAGCATTCGTGCATTTCGAAGAAGAAGAAGGAAAAAAAGTGAGTGTGCGATGCAGTTGTTGTGTTCACAGTGAGCAATGAACAGTGTATGCTTTGAGTAAGACCTCGCAACTAACGCAGCTTCTTTTGCTTTTATCCGACTTTGCATTGGATGGTTTGGTAAATATATATAGAGAGAGAAACAACAACAAAATGGAAGAAGTGTTGTTTGCTGCAAATGCTGAAAGAGAAATTCTCGCTTAGGAAATAAAAAAGCTGCTGCAAACAAAAACATAGTTTTAAAAAGGCACAACGGCGCCAAAGGTATAAAAGCAAGAGCGCACACATATGTGACATGTTCTTTTTTATCCACCGCATAATGTGTGCTGCTTGCAGTAGTGTTTCGGAGGGGGATGAACAAAGGCTCAAACTAAGAAACAACCGTCTTTGAGTAAACATGAACATGAACAATCTTTTATCGGCACGAATTTACTGGTGTGAAAAACTCATAAGAAATGTATTAACAGTCGAAGATGCAGAACGCAAAAAGCCACCACCATAAACACACACACACACACACACATCGTTCTAGGCTCTATTTTTTTGTTTGCTCGATGCTGTTTCTTCTTCATCTTTCCATAGTTTTAAGCGCTTGTTTTCCCTGCTTTTAACTATTCACGAACGATGCTGATGCATAGCAGCAGCAGCAACCAAACAAACGATTTCACAGCGGTCGCTTTTGCTATTTGGTTTATGGCGTTGAAATAAAATCATCTAGAACATCACTTTAATGGTTGATTTTACATTTTACTTAAAACAATATCTATCGACTAGATCGAGAGGAGAGTATGTGAAAAAATTCTAATATATTTTGAAAGAGGAGAGTATGATTTCTGTTGATTCTATCTGCGTTAAAAGGAAGTATGTTGGCATCCCGTCTAGCCTCCGCGGTCTTTCACGGTTTCCGCGGAACTGATAAAAGATAACAACATGGTGTCTTCGGCAAAGTTGTAGTACTCGAAGTCTTTTATAACATTGCTGAAGACATCTATCTCTTATCTCTTATCAGTTGCGCGCAAATCGCGCACATAAAAAAGCAAATTTTATATAGAACTTTTTTTTCTTATCCTTTTTCGCGCTTTTCGCGGAACTGATAAGAGATAAGAGATAACTGACTTCAGCAATGTTATAGAAGACCTCAAATGCTACAACTTTGCCGAAGACACCAAGTTGTTATCTCTTATCAGTTCCGCGGAAACCGTGGAAAACCGCGAGGACCCGCCAAAAATGAACATACTCGCCTTTAACCATTTTTGAGTCGAAAGAAACTTACTCTTCTCTTTCATAACATACTCTCCTCTCGAT